GCTAAAATCATATTCCTGTGTATGCATGTATATGTGAACACCACTTGACATAAGCAACATTTTAATCTTACACATTTGACTTTAAATGAAATCAATACATTTTCAAACTTATGACTATATGGAATTGGGAGAGCAACTCCTAATTATATATCATCTCCTCTTCTGCTCTGGTCTCTGAATTACATGGCATCCCTGAAGGCGACTTGCTCTGTGTGTTTTCTCCTTCAGGGAATTCATCTGTTTTTCTAGGCTTGAGAATTCTGTAAAATCTTGATGAAATGAAGCTTATAACAACAAGCAAAGCATGGCTTTGAAATGCATGGCACAATACCTTCTTTGTGTGTTTTGGAGGGTGTTTGTGAGGGAGGACACAGTGGGTGGCCAGATACCTTTGTGAGGCTGTGGCACCAGGCAATTAGGATGATTCTAACCTGCCCCACTTCCTAGCTGTGCGGATTTAGGCAAGTTACTTACCCTTCAGTCAAAATTACTGATCGGTAAAAGCATGATAATAATAATATGGGTTTTTTTAGTCATAGAGCCATTGTGAAGATTAAGGAAATAATGCAAAAACATTTAGTGACTCTGGCGCTTGTTAAGCTACCAATAGTTGTACTATTAATTATTACTCTCATCATTAGCAAGGGGTGGCAATGTGGGTGAAAGTGATTTGAGACCTGTGAAATGGAGTGAAATGTGAGGTGTTATTCTGTGTGCTGTTGAGGAGTGAAATCTAAAGAGTGTGGTAGAAAGAACAGACATCAGGAACTCCGGAAAACCCGATCCTCATGCGTCCCTGTCACCAACCAGCTGTGGAGCCCTGGACTCCTCACTCCCCCCATCCCAGCGCCCCGCCCCTCCCCATCTCCTTTTTACCCAGCTTGAAAATGAGGCCCTTTGGATTAGATTTTCTTGGAGCTCCATCCCAGTTTATGAGCAAATATCTTACATAGCAAATCTTACCCAATTCCTTGAGCTGAGTAGAAGGTCAACATGGGTTACGTAGATCAGTGGTCATAGCCTCTCTCTGAGGTTGACAGCAGTTCATCTCAACCGCAACAACCAGGAGAGCAGTCCACAGGGATCCAATGAAAAGGCAAGGTGCTGCCACCCCTCAGGAACCCTGGAGAGCATCATCGTATAGGAGAGGCCAACTTATCATGATAACAGCAACACTGAACTAGTCAGAAAAAGACACCAGCTTAGGGTTTGTGGATTTGGAAAGTTAGGATGCACCAGGGGCTCTCTTAATGCAACTGCGAAGCGGTTGGCTGCTAACTACAATGTCAGAGCTTCAAACTTCCCAGTGGCTCGGTGGAAGGCTCTCTGTCCTGTTGGGTTGCCATGAGTTGGACCTGACTTCAATACATACAACAACACTGCTACTGACTGCCTGTCAGGTTGTCATACCGTGCTGCCATGGATGTTTCTAGAATGCTGGAAGCGATACTACTGGTATTTCAAATTCCAACAGCGTTATCCATGGTGGACAGATTCTAGGGGGGCTTCCAGGCAATCTGGGAGAAAAGCCCTGGGGAGCTATTTCCAAAATTGAGCCAATGGCGGCCTCATGGATCCCAAGAGAAGGTTGTCTGATGCAGTGCTGAACGACGGTCCATCAAGGTGGTGGTGGTGCTAGTTGCCTTTGAGTCGATTCTGACGCACAGGGACCCCCTGTGGGTCAGAGCAGAACCGGGCTCCACTGGGTTTGGAAGGCTTGTTGGAAGCAGAGAGCCAAGTCTGTTTTTGAAAGGAACCTTTCAGCTACTACTCATTGTGTTGTTGTTGTGAGGTGCCAGTGAGTTGGTTCCAACGCACAGAAACCCTGTGTACAACAGAACGAAACTCTGCCCGGCCGGCCGGACACCTTCCTCACAATGGTGCCTGTGCTTGAGCCCATTGTTGCAGCCACTGGTCAATCCATCTCGCTGAGGGCCTCGAAGCAGAGAGCTTAATTGTGTCACCCAGGGACGCGCCCAGGTTGGAAGGGACTCAAAACACAGTGACCATGACAGTGACCATGACACATTGACTTGAATATACCAACATCCTTGAAGGTGGCACATAGAATCCGACAGCTTTTTGCTCTGTTGTACCTGGGGCGGATGCCAATAGTCTGTGACTAGCAACAATCAACTGGGCTCTGAGCACCTGCTATGTGCTAGATGCTGTGATCAACTGGGGGTACAATCACTACGAGGACACATTCGGTAGGAGTTGACAATCTGGGGGTTGCTGCTACAGTTTCAGCAAAGTCCTGCAAGGTGCTTATATAATTTATATAGTATTTGTCTGTTATTCGGGGAAACATAGCTGTTTGTGTACTTAGCTTTGGCTTGTTTCTCCACCCTCAACCCTCGAGTAGCTTCTGATGTTAAATATTATCTCTTAATGTGAGTTGTGCCAGAAGGAAGAGTCATCTGTTAGTCTTTTACTTCTTAATGAGCCTTCACGCTGGATCGCGGGGCAGCGATCGAGTCTTTGCACTTCTTCCCAAAGAACCATCAGTTTAGCATTTACTACTTGGTCTAAATCACCCTCAGTCCTCACCTCTTTCTGTGCCCTGATCTTACTCCAGCCCCCCAAAGAACCAAATATCCAGAAACAACAGTAACAAACAGACACACACAAACACACACGAAAGTGTGGTGGGGTAGCCGTGTTTTGATGGCTAGGCTAAATATTTCTTCTGCTACTATAGCAACTACTATTAAGTGGCTTGTCACTTGCCTTTAAAGCTGTTTGGTAGAGTGAAAGTTATTTTGCATTTAAGTGCTTAAAATCACCTACAATTACCTAGGCCACTTTTAGCTCCCTCCAAGATTCTTCTTACAGAAGCTTTTCCTTTTCCTTCAGACATTGTAATGAATGTAGAATGCGGTATTTCCCCACCCTCACGGATTTGGATTTCCATATTCCTAGAGAATGACAAGGCTCTATGAAAACTGCAGTAGAAAGGCTTTCCACAAAAACACTTAATTAAAAATAAGACAGGTGGTGCGTAAAGGTGTTTTGAATTATCTGGAAAATTGATGCTGGCAACTGAATGCTCATTCTACAGTTCATTGATAAGCACATATTAAATGCCTAACAGTATCAAGGCATTGTGCGAAGTGCTGCGCACATAAAGGAGATTAAGAAAGGATTGGTGCTTTTGAAGAGTTCATTTTAAAAGGGCTTGCCTTATATATTATATAAACACTAAATATTTTACAAAACACTTTTTCCCAGGCAACAATTTGTTTCATCCTCAGAGCAATCAATCCTGGTTTCATGCTTCATAACCTTGGGATTTCTTGCTGCTCCTGTTATCTGGCAAACAGAATGCTCATTTTGATGATGCTAATGTTAGTATTTGGCCACTGCCGGCTTGAACCAGCTGCTCCTTGGGAGAAAGATGTGCCGTCTGCTTCGGTAAACATTCACCCCCACTGTCCTCGAATCAATTCCGACCCATAGAGATCCTATAGCACAGCGTGGAACTGCCTCACAGGGTTTAAGAAGTATATTCTTTAGAGATCAAAGCCCTCATCTTTCTCTCACAGAGTGGCTGGTGGGTTTAAACCCAAGAAGCCCTGGTGGCATAGTGAAGGTCAACATTTTGAAACAGCCACTCCATGGGAGAAAGATGAGGCTTCCTATTCCTGTAAAGATTTACCGTCTGGGCAGCCCACAGGGGCAGTTTTACTCGGATAAGATCACTATGACTTGGAATCAACTCGATGGCAGTGGGTCTCAGTAGCCGGATACACCAAGGCTCCTTGTAACGGTGTCAAGATGTACAGCCTTGGAAATCTATGGGCGCAATTCTACTCTGTCCTACAGGGGTCACTGTGCATCCAAATGGACTTAATAGTGGTGGGTTTTAAAAAACGAATGAACAGTCTACAAACTTGGAGTCACTTTTCAAGGGGAAGAGCTTTTCACTTTCTAGTCTTCTTTCCTCCTTGGGCTGCCTTTCGCCCTGGGGTGGCCTAAGATTCCCTGTGAGTTCTAGTCAAATCACAGTGACCTTCTACAATGCACCCGGGTAGTGATGGTTCTTGGAATACTTGTCTTTCAAAGCCCTTAGGCTCTGATCTCAGAACACCATTCTTACCACATGTTCTCCTTATTCCGCTCCTGACCACGCCTTCCAAGTCACCTATGATCTTTGGCATCTTATCGTCTTTCCTTCAAAAGGTAGAACTGCCTTCATAGAAGAGGAAACTGGGCCTAGGGTTTCAATGCTAAGGCCATACACGTTGATCGTAGAGCTGGGCCTTGAACCTGAAATGCTATACTTTGACCAGAGTCCTTTCTAGATCCTGGTGTCTTTAAAACTATCTGCCAAAGGAAGCATCCTTCCCAGGCGAACATGTGGTTCTCGTCTATTTTGAAAGAATATCCGCTCCCTAGTGCAACAGCGATCTACCCAGTTTAAGAACACGGCACAGATTATTACGTTTTCCTGGAGAATGGCTGTTCACGTCGGCATTATGTGGTTAACAATAAGCATTGATTGATTAATCACCTGCCATGTTCCATACACAAACTAGTCCTTGGCCACATAAAGACTGCACGGTGGTGTTGGCCAGATGGCAATTGGAGATACTCTTTGGATGTACAAATGTAGTATAGGATCATTCTACTTCGAAATAATATTAGTGGCTATTGATAACGCTAGCGTAATTGTTCTGTAAGCCTAAAATGATCACTAACAAGCGTTGTCCGCTAGCGAGGTGTTAGAATCCCCAGACCTTAAAGCCTTCATTTATACGCCTTTAGGATTGCACAAGTGCCCGGAAGTCAAGAAACGTTATTAAAATAGTGTGGTTTTCGGTGCCAAGAGCTAGCTGGGGGAACCGGGCGCGCGGAGCGTGAAGCTGCCCCACGGCGCCGCAGTCTGGGGCCAGGTCCCGACGCAGGTCCCGACGCCTTTGGGGCCTCTGCTGCGCCCTCCCGGGCCTGGCCGGGGCGTGGCCGGCGCTCGGGGATTCTTCCAGCGTCTCAGACTCCCATCCGGCGACTCCCTCCGCGGGCCCACGGCGGCGATGCTAGGGGCGCGGCGCTTCCCTCGGGCGTGGCTCTGCAGGTGCCATTCTGACTCTTCCGGAGCCCTAAGCTGCAGCCCCGGGGTTCGCCCGCGGGCCGGCCGGGGTAACGGGATCCTTGTTCCGTATTTCAGGGGAGCCGGTCAGGGTCGCAGCCGCCAGTATCGCGCCGCGCTTTGTACCGAGTTGAAACAGCCCCTGGCCATCGCGGAGGTCAACCCCCGTCCTCTCCGACCTCACGAGGTAGGGTGACCGGGCAACACCGGAGAGCCTCCCTCCCACCCTTCCTCCCCCTCCCCCAACTTCTGACCCCGCCGGCTTCCAGCCAGAATCCAGTTCCCAACTCCTCAGATAGAGGGCAACCTGGAGCCTGGAGAGCAACTTAAACCGTGGCCTTGGGTAGAGGCCCTTTCCAAGTTCACAATAAGGCCGAAAGTGCTGATGGAGAATTGTTCCCAGATGCACAAATACAGGCCTCTCTCCGAATGCCCCAGAGCTGTTGCCTTAGAAACAGAGAATTCTGATTTGCACATTACTTTGCATAACCACCTGTACGTTAATTGATTTAACACGGATAAATGGACCCAGTCATTTACTTTTTACTCTGTTCCTCTCTGATGTCAACTTCCAATTATCTGCACACACGTCCCTCCCCCCCGCCCCCCAGGGTCTGGCACACTATTTCTGTGTAAGCCTGAGCCTCGTGTCCTCCTGCAGTGGACTGGCAGTGATTTGGGTAGAGCCAATTGAGGATAAGGAGCCCCGGTTAGCAGAAACTCACTGCCGCCAAGTCTGTTCCAATTCAGAGCGATCATAGAGGACAGGCTGGAGCTGCCCCTGTGGGCTTCCAAGACTGTAACTCTTTACAGGAATAGAAAGCTTCATATTTCTCCCCGGTGGTTTTGAACTACTAACCTTGTTAGTAGCCTAATGCATACTCCACAGAACCCACTATGCCACGAGGGTTCCTCTGGTTGGCGTAGTGGGATAAATATTGGACTACTAACCTCAAGGTTGGCAGTTCAAGTCCACCAGCCACTTCGTGGGAGGGGTGGGGGGAGATGAGGCTGTCTGCTCTGGTAAAGATTGATAGTCTTGGAAATCCAAATGAACAGCTCTACTCTGCCCTATTGTGTCACTGTGAGTCGAGATTGACTCCATTGCAGTGGGTTTGTTCATTTGCCCTTTGTTAACTTTAGGGTTGTGGGCAGTCCCACTAACAAGGGAAGTCACTTGACCACTCTGGGGACCAGTGTGATCTGGTGTGGAGCATGAGAATTCCTGAGAAAGGTGAAGCAGGCAGTGAGACCCAGTGTTGGGGGGACTACTGGTGAGCAGGGAGAAATGTGGCTGCAGCCCTGCAGTGCCACTCATGTAGATCTGTGTCTAAAACAGGGCTTCTCATTGGGTCAAACGCATTCTGGTTTGAGCCCCTGCTGAGAACTGACATTTCCACTCCAGATACAGTGAATCAGAATCTACATTTTAACAAGATCTGTAAGAATCTATTTGGATACAGCTATCTGGCAAGTCAACTGGAAGAGACCCATATTTGTGCCCATTCCAAGAAAGGTGACCTAACAGAATGTGGAAAGTATCAAACAATATAATTAATATCATATGCAGATTAAAATTTTGCTAAGGATGATTAAAAATGGTTGTAGCAGTACATTGAGAGGAACGTGCTAGCAAATCAACCCAGTTCAGAAGTAGATGTTGCATAAGGGAACTATCATTGTTGACACCAGATGAATCTTGGCTAAAAGCAGAGACTACCCAAAAGATGTTTACTTATGTTTTGCTAATGATGCAAAGGCATTGTATGAATCATAACAATTAATGGATAACATTGAAAGATGGGAATTCCAAAACATTCACCTGTGCTCAAGTGCTACCTAGACATGGACCACAGCCAGTTTTTGGAACCGAACAAGGGGAAAGAGGATGGCTTAAAATCAGGAGAGGTATATTTCAGAGTTGTATCCTTTCACCACACTTACTCTATCTGCATTCTGAGCAGATAAACCAGAAGTTGGACTAGACTGTTTGAAGAGGAATGTGTCATCAGGATTTGAGGCCACCTGCAGATGACATAACTTTGCTTGCTGAAATCAAAGGAGGCTTGAAGCACTTACCAATGAAGAACAAAGACAGTGGAATACATCTTAATGCAAGGAAAACAACAATCCCCACATCTGTGCCAATAGACATCATCATAATAAACGGAGAAGAGATTGAAGTTGTCCAGGATTTCATTTTGTACTTGAATTCACAATCAATTACCCCTGGAAGCAAAAGTCAAGAAATCAAATGTCGAATTGTACTGGGAAATTTGCTGCAAATTACCTCTTGAGATTGGTAAAGTGCCAAGACGTCACTGTGAGGAGTTAGGTGCGCTTGCCTTGACCCAAGGTAGTTTCAGTCGCCTCATACACATGTGAAAGCTGGCTAATAAATAAAGAAGACTGGAGATGAACCGGTACCTATGGATTATATTGTTGCCAAAAAATATTGACTATGCCACGAATGGGTAGGACAAGCACATCTATCCTGAGAAACGATGAGGATTGCATAACTTTGGTTCATGCACTTTGGACATGTTACCAGGAGAGACCATCTCTGGAGAAGGACATTTTGCTTGGTAAGTAGAGGTGAGCAAAACCAGAGGAAGACCTTTGACGAGCCGGATTAACACACTAACTACACCAATTTGGAACTGACTTGACAGTATATAGCAACAACATAAGAATCTATAGGTCTATAAGGTATTAAAGATCTATAGGAACCACTTGGGGATCTTGTTAGCCTGCAGCTCTTGAGCTGTCCTCTTGGCCTTGAATTTAACCGCCAGTTTGGAAGCTACTGTTCTGATTGTACCTTTTTGAAGGCTCTCAAATGAGACTGAGACAAGTGTATTACAGAGCGAGCTTGTCTACAGCCATCACGGACTGCAGAGCCACGTGAAAACAGGAGTTGTTTAGGATAGCCTCGTGCATGTGTAAACTGGAATCCCAGAAGCTATTCTTTTTGACTTGCCTTTGTAACTGAGTGAGCTCTGTTTCCATTGGTGGAAACGTGCGCTGGTCTTCTTTCTTGGTTTATTTTTTTGTAGGTCAGAGTGGATGTCCATTTTTGTGGGGTGAACTTTGCTGATTTATTGGTCTGCCGTGGTCAGTATCAGGAAAGGCCCCAGCTCCCCTTCACACCTGGTGAGTATGAGGGGACCCAGTGACTGCTGCAGGGAAGAAGGATATAGAGAGTTTCCAGGACCATGCAGGCATCCCAGGCCAGGCCCTTCCATCAGTGTGCTCGGTGAGCTACCTCAGCCTTACGGATGATCAGAATCCCAGAGGGCAGATTCTCTGTCTTGCTGAACACTGTCTGGTCTAGCTCACATTAGATGTTCAATAAATGCTTTAAAAATGGATAAATGGTAGTGATAGTGGGGGAGGAGGAAGCATTTAGGAACAAGAGGAAAGTTGTATGTTTCATCATTGCTACATCGCACCCTGACTGGCTCATCTCCTCCCCGAAACCCTTCTCTAAGGGGATGTCCATTGGCCTCCAAATGGGCTTTGGGTCTCCACTCTGAACTCCCACCCTCATTCACTATGATAAGATTTTTTGTTCTGATGATGCCTGATACCTGATCCCTTCAACACCTCATGATCGCACAAGCGGGTGTGCTTCTTCCATGTAGGCTTTGTTGCTTCTGAGCTAGGTGGCCGCTTGTTTACCTTCAAGCCTTTAAGACCCC